CTCCTCCTCCTTCTTCTTCTTTTTCTTCTTTTTCTTCTTCTTCTTCTCTTTCTTCTTCTTCTTCCTCCTCTTGCTACATGTATAATATATAATATTACCGGGTATATAGGCCTATATATATATTTTATACATATTATATATATATGATAAAAGTTTCTTTTTAAATCACAGACAAAGGTTTTATAACAGGGATGATCAGTTGTTCGTTTACCTAGAGATACATAAAAAATTAAAATTAATTGATTGTATCTAATTGAAAGCGTGTCGTACCACCTAGATATTCATTTACTAAAAGAGGTTGGGTGACAAAAAATGGAGAGCTGTTTCCAGCAACTCCGCTCTCAGCTAACCTAGATTTCTAGGTTGGAATGCAATCTATACAAAATTAACTTTTTTCATAAAGGTTCTAAAAGATACACAACGTAATTGTCACTGTTGGTTGTTACTATTACAGGCCAAATACTTATTGCAAAACGGATTGTATCCAACACTTGTAGTGTAAAAACCAACTCAACAATTCACTAAAGCAATTAAGGAGGACAAAAATTACGGTGAACTGTTTCCAGCATCTCAGATCACAGCTAGTTTTGGTTACAAGAAAATAATTAATTATTATGAGATGAAAAATAAATTTACCAAATGTCTTATGTCTGATGAAGACGAATCCACGACTTTTTAACCCACAAAGACCTTGACCTTGTTACCAAAGATTGCATTGTTTACAAATTACACTGTCACGTGACAATGTTTGTAAACGAAGCCAGCTGATACTGTTGTCAAGAAATCGAAATTTCTCCAGGTTCAGAATTGTTTATCATTTGTTAATACTTCATGGTGCTTGTTTGGTTATTACATCTGGTGATCAGAGAAACTTGAAATAAGCCAGGAAAATATATATAGATCTAGATCTAGATCTAGATCTAGATCTAGATCTAATATGGGCCCTGGACATAATCTTGATCTCGACTGTCCTAGACTTGTTATTGTCGCTCACCACACTCACACTCACGATATTTCTAATCTGGATCTAGAATCTAGATCTAGATCTAGTTCTAGATCTAGTTATCTAACATACACTACACTTACAACTTACACTCTCTCTCACACTCAGTCGTTCTCACACTGTGACTGTCTCATCCCAAACCCAGCCTTCCTTCCTGATCGATTTTCATTGTGACTGGTTTTGTTACAGAGAGAGAAATTAGAGGTAAGCAAGAAAATAAGTAACACCTTTAATTGTTGACTGCTGTGACCATTAGTATTAAAGGTTCTTCTATTAGACTGGTCATTGCCGTCATTATGAAACATTTTATGCAATCAACCTGGCAGACAGAGTCAGTTGATTTTTCTTGGCCTACGACTGAGAATCGAGAAGTGGACTGAACTTAAATGTGTATTAGCTCTAATAATATTTAGGCACGCGCTACTTGCAACACCGCGTTTTGAATAGCTCCTATGCTATTTGAAACGTCGCGTTCTGATTAGCTCCCATGCTTTTTGAAACGCCGCTTTCTGAAAAGCATAGCGCCCATGCTATTTGAAACACCAATACTCGTAGCCATCATTTTTAATGAAGGTTTGCCTGAATTGTGGAAGTTTTCTCAGTTTCTTGATAAACCTCCTAGGATTTGACTCCTTTTTTATGACGTTGTCTTAATTCCGATCAATATTGGCATTGTGTAGATTTCGATCTCGATCGAGATCTAACAATTGTTTCTGACACTGACATTGTTTGCACAAAAGTAGTCTTGTTCATCTCTTATAATCATAATCATTTGATTTTGAGTTTGAGCAACGTAAGTCAAAAGACTCTTGGATACCATAAGTAACGAGACGGTGCAACTCGGTCTAAGCACTATTTCCTGTCTGCAGTGTCTTCATACAATACCTAAAAATAATTATTAGATCTATCTCTACGTGCATTTAGTATTTTGCCATCACACATGATGTCGCCTGATCTTGATTTCTAGGCTTCGGCGTTTAAATTAGCATGGGATAGTGTCTACATTCTCTAACATTAGGCCAAGAGAATGTATACAAGCTGTCTACGTTCTCTAATGTTCAGTGCTTCCAAGGATGGCATCGAATCCTGGTCCCGGAAGTTTTTTTTGGTCTTCTCCTGAGCCTAAAATTATTTTTAAAAAACAATTAGACTCACAGACCAAGGAAAGCCACTATTGAACTTTAACCAGACCTAAATTAGTAAAAGGAAAAGTATAGACCTACTTCGTAGGTAAAAGCTCCTTTTGCGGACAAAACCAGCATGTGCATGCTTCATCACTAAGTATACAAAACTACAAAGCAACTAGTTATAATTAGGCCTATGGGGAACTATTGTTGGTCAGTAAGGAAGAGGAGAAGAAGAAAAAAACAACCCAAAACTTCCTGGAACGGGATTCGTACCCACTCTCAGAAAATAACGGTTTGACTTCAAACTCAGACGCGCTGTCCATTCGACCATGAGAACTTCCCACAACGTAGCGTTGATTAAGCCTTATATTTAACGCACTGCATTTTATTTAGCACTGGCGCTAATCACAACGTGGCGTTTTATTTATCTCTGGCGCTAATCGCAACTCAGTGTTGCAAATAGGCACTTCCTAATATTTAATAACTGACATTTTAAAATTGTTTATCTAGTATTATAAAATGAAAGTGAAAGCAAAGACTGAATCCTAGTCGAATTTGATCATGACCTGACCTATCAATTAATGACTAGGCAGAAACCTAACATTTATAATGATGCATTAGATATTAAATATCAACATTTTAGTTTACTTCCATTGGCAAGTAGGCCTGAGCTTGGCTTATATAGGCACTCTTTGACTTTACTTGAAATCCTTTCGTCAGTGTAATTTTCTCTAAATGTTTTTAATTCTGTTGAAAGGATTTTTTCAATCCTTCCCATGGATTCTTCCAGCAGAAACAAACAAAAACTTTGCCTTTTTCTTTCCCATGATTTGCATGCAATTTAATGTGGTTTTCATATTTGAATGGGAATCCCCTTGAACTCTTTCTCGTTGGAGCAATGATGGGAGCATGATTCACAACATGTCCCATAATTTTGCATCTACATTTTTCATGCAGGGATTTTTATTTTATTAGAGGAAGAGGCTATCCGTACTTAATGACGGCTAGACGGCTAGACTAGTCGTACTTAAGGACGGCTATACTAGCAGGGTAGTCGTGCTTAATGATGATGGCTAGACTGACGAAAATTTAAAAAATGGAAGAGGCTAGCCGTACTTAATGACGGTTAGATGGCTAGACTAGTCGTACCTAAGGACGGCTAGACTGGAAGGGTAGTCGTAGGCCTACTTAATAATGATGGCTAGACTGACAAAAAAAAATAATACTGAATTGTAAGTACGGCTAGCCCCTTCATTCGTAAAAATCCTGTTGTCAGTGACTACAATTGATTGATTTGAATTTCCCTTGAAATTTTTATTGCAGGGGGGAAAAACAGGTTTTGAGCGCATTTGTGACAATTTAGACATCCATAATTACTACAGATGCTTTTTTCTTTCTTTTTAAAAAAAAAAAAGGATATCAGAATAAAGTGAGCAATTGCACTGGAAAGATGAGGAATCCCCCAGGGCGAATGAATATGAAATGAGAAGTATTTATTTTTTTAGGACTCTGAAGATGATGGCTATGATTCACAGCTGGTCTATCTAGAATCTGTTTGTTTTGAGAGTGATTTCGCAGAGGACTCACTATTCTGGATGGGTGGGATGAAAATGTTAATTTTTTCACCCCACAAGTCACAGATTTAATTAAACAAATACACCTTTAATAAGTCTATATATGCAATTCAACATTTTATTATATTACCTTTAAAAGGATAATATGTTTGTGTAAAACATGTTTGTGCTTTGTGTCTAGAAAATGTCACGCTTCACTTTTGAAAATTAATTCTTGAGAAAAAATTATGACGCGAAAAGAGTTGAAGTAATCTAAGAATAAAAGATAAATCTTTATTTTAGATATATATGGTGTTGGCAAATTCATTTGGTGCTTCACCATACACACGCACATGCATGCAGATGCACGCATGATATTCTTTCTCACTTCATCCTTTCTTCTACACATGCATATGTTGCATTATATTCACACATGATATCACTCACAAACAGACCCACAGTTACATCATATTATATAGATGTACTTTTTATAGTAAACAATAATGTGTTAATCTTGATACATAACTAGTGTTCTGATAGTAATCCAATGGTATTCTGATAGTTTGCTTTACTTTATATGGTCATAAAAATACTTGCTTTATTTTACAAGATGATGTTTGGAAGATGAAAGGGATGGTGATAAAAATGACCTTTTTTTTGTTACGCAGCAAGAGTATTTAAGACGTTTTACCCCTTTTGATGTTTTAATTTGAGAGACCAAAGGATGATTGCAGTCTGAAAAGATGGAACTGATTTTTCTAGCCCAAACGATATTGTATAAAGTTAATTGAAATAAAGGAATGCAGTTGTTCAAATTTTGCATGCTTCCCGTAAAATTAATCGATTTATAGTTTTATTTTATCTTGATGTCTCGCCTTTCCCAGTCCATGCTGTCATGCAGATTTTGAACTTTTAGTTGATTAGGACAGAAAACAAAAAAAAACAACATTCAGAAATTATCATGCTCTGATGATAACAGATTGTATCATGCTTAGTCGTCAGATATTCCGGTGTAGCTTAGACATGAAATATCCGCAGAGGCGGTTAAATGGATATGGGTAGCCAGCTTGTGCCTTCTATCATGAGATAGTGGAAGATACAACAACATATTGAAATGAAACCTTGATGGGTAGTCCTTATTCACTAATACTTTTTTATGTTCATCTCAATATGTGCTTATTGTCATATATTGAGCTGTGAGTATGAATGTCTACTAAGATAAATGTGTAGACATTCTACTAAGATAAATGTGTAGACATTCTACTAAGATAAATGTGTAGACATTAAAATCTAAAGTACAGTGTGTATGTTTTACCATGTATGTTAATCCACTTGTGTTTTATGTGGAAATGAACGCATTGTAAAGCACCTAGAGGTGTATTGTATGGTAGTGGGGGACATAAAAATGTATAGATCTTCATTTTTGGTATCACTATTGTCGATTCTTTAAGAGACTAAGACGAATAGAAGGAAATAAAAGCTGAGTGGCTACTGGAGGATACCAAAAGCATTAAATTGTGTTCTTTAGTATTAGGAGCAAAGCATGGTCTAGGGATTTACCTCAAATTTTTTTTTTTTCAACTCCTTTGTTTTGAACATTGTTGGGTCATCGATAAGGTGTGAAATTGAATTAATCACTTCATATCTTTCAAGCATGTTACATTTACTGTCTGATGACAATTTGACTAAGTGCTCATTTTACTTTATCTCCCTTGTACTTGATTATGTAAATGCTTTTCGTATTAAACTCCTGTAAAACAAGTTTGCATTAACTCTGCCTTTTTGGTCATCAACGTGCTGTGATGCGTTTAGTAATCCCTGCTCTAAATATGCTCTCTCTCAGGTGAAGGGTTTTTGCAGAGCAGCCATGCCGGTCGAGGTGGAACAAGAGGATCTGAGATATGTCCCCGATACACAAAAGAGTTCCAAAAGTCCAGGTGTTAATTCCCTCGACAAATGTCTCATCGATGCATCAGAGTGTGGGAACATAGAGCAGGTGGAGCGCTTGTTGCAGTCTGGTGCCGAAGTATCGTACTTCCTCATTTCGAACAACAACAGCAACATCATTTACCGCAGCTCTGCTCTGAGTGCAGCGGCTCGTAGTGGCCATTTTGAAATTGCTGTGATGTTGTTGAACTACGAAGGGTGGTGCAGTAGAAGAAGAGGAAGAGAAGAGAACCCGTTCTATTGGTCGATTTTGGCGGAGACGTTGTGGAATAGGAGTAAAGACACTGACAGGGACCCCCTTGTCAACGATGATGGTGAACTGTTAGCGTTGTCGGACGAAAGTTATCACGACCAGGTATGGCTCCTGTCTAACATGGATGTGATGAAGTATCTCATTCACGCTGGAGCGGATGTCGACAGAAAATTCCAGAATGGATTCACTCCCCTGATGATGGCTGTCAATGATGGTCTGGAAGAAGTGGTCGGGTTCCTTTTGGAAGCGGGTGCAAACCCAAACATTTCTACGACCAACAATCTTACTGCTCTGATCCTAGCGACCCGCTGTCAATCAGTAAACATTTTACAACTATTGCTAAAGAATGGTGAGTATCACGGTGTGAGGTAAATAGAATAAAAAGAACACATATATAATATAATAATATAGCGATTGCTAATCTCTTCAAATGTGTAAGGAGTAATAGCATGAAATGAGTCACTTTTTGCACTCAGCTGTTTCAAGATATCAGAATCAGATAAAAATCTTAATTTGTTTTTAACTCCCCAACTTAAAGTGATTACAGTAGTCTCCACGTAATGCGCGCAATACTAAGGCATACTCTGCTGAAAGGCATGCCTTCGTCAGATGACGTTTGTTTTTACTATTTAATTTTAGAAATACAGACGTATGGTCACTTCCTCTAAATACACACTTCAAGCTCATGAAACACGCCAACAGGTAAAGCTTGACAAAGTCAAAGAGAAATTTTCACTACAACCTACACAGCTTGCTTCATCAACCGAATATTTGGAAAGACTGCCTCTCACCCAGACCAAAGAAAGTGACGGATACTGTTTTCCCACCCAACTGTCCATGGTTACATAGGAGTAGGACAAGGTGAATGATATGTTTTGGGGTGTAAACAGTAAAATGCATGCTTAAGAGCCGTTCCAAGCTCTGGCTTTTAGGCAGAGACTACTGTAGCTTTAGGAATAAAAAAAAGAGCTGGATTAATGATGCTGCGTTCACCTTTTTCTAGGTCTTGTAGAGATCTTCAGGTCGATACCCTTAGTATCATTATATATTGTCAAAATGAGACGTGACATTTTGTCGTGTTGCAATGCAAAGTGATGACAGCTTGAATATTGTATATGCAACTAGCAACATGAAGACTAAACTTTATTGATTAATTCATTGAGGACATGCGTTCTAATCATACTCGCTGTCTAATCATGCATTTGTTTTGGGGGGCATTATAAAAGCATAAAAGTAACTTCATTATTCATCTATTGTAGATTTTAAATTCTGTTTTTTTCCATCCCAAGCTTAAAAAGCAAGCAACAACATTCATACCATGAAATATGCAAATTATTGATTCTAATTTGGGTACGGTGCTTTGAAATATCCAGCAACAATTGTTCAGCCTCTCCTGCATATTTCTTGATCTCAATGGTATTTAGGTTATTTCTTACCACGGTCAATACTCCTCCTTTCTTTCTACCTTGCGATCGTTTCTGAAGCACTGGTATCCTCTCAACTTGAAGTTTGCTTGCTCCTGCAGGTGGGTTTTCTGTATACAGCTGATGTGTATTTCGTTATCTTTTAGAAAGTTTTCTAGCTCTGTTTTCTTGCTTGAGATTCTTTCAGCATTCCATCTAGTGCATATATTCAGATTTTTCCTTACCTGTTTTGTGTTTGTGTTACCAGTCACTTTTCTTCCTCATCTCCTGGCACTTCAAGACGATGGAAGGCCCTCCAGTCGCTGGGGTGGACCCCTGTGAGGCTTGGGGCCCGCCACTGCACTTGCCTGGTGGGTCCTCGTAGGGCGAGCACCATATCTTATTTTACCGACTTCATTATTGCAGTATTAAATTCATTGGTATTGTGGTTCTCTAGAGTGTGCCTTGCGGTCCAATACGTCCGATTTCAGCACTCCAGCTCCATGTCCGAGGACCTTCCCTGGGACTGGGAGCACAGGGAGGAATTTTTACCAGATCCCACTCGTAGCTAGGACTTAATGTGGTCCTTTTCCACATGGTGCTCCCGTCAGCGGACTCCTAGGGCATTTAATGACGTGGTAGTCCAACCTACCACCTGACCCTGACTTGGTCAGAGCATTGCCAGTTGGTCCGGGCTGCCTATTCAACTATTACACAGCTATCCTCCATTACAGTGGTTGTTCTCTATCCGCCACCTCGGACCCGCCGGGTTGGGGATGGTCGCCCCTGGTCAGGGGCTTAGTTCATGTCAACAGCTTGTTGGCAATGGTTTGTTCTTGCTACCTTCAACTGAATTGTATGTATATATATATATACTATGTTTATAAGTATAAGCATGTGTATATCTAAAATAACATCTAACGAAAAATTCTTTCTTTTTTTTTGTTTGTAGGTGCCAACCCCAATGAACCAGACCCGGACCTAAATGGTCACGTGATCTCCTACCCTCTATTCTGGGCCATCAGCCGAGGTCACCTCCAGCACATCAGGCTCCTCCTACAGCACGGAGCGGTGCCCAGCCCTGCCCCTGAGTACGTCCTCTACACCTGGGACTTGGTGCAACTCACAGACCTTCACAGCTACCTCCGCAGACTTTCTCCCCTCCACATGGCTCTGTATCGGAACAAGCCACACATGGCACAGTTTTTTTGTGAAGTCGGGTACCTGGTGACCAGCGACGTTTCTGTGTTAGGACGTAGTGACAGAAGCATCTGGAATGTTCTGGAAAACAGTGAGGACTCTGATTCTGACAATAAGGAATGTATTGATTTTCTACAGGAATTCTCGAGCAACTGTTTGCCTCTGGTAACTTTGACGTTTTCTCTCATCTCCAATAGAATCGGGTTTAGGGAGGACCGAGAGCAGAGGCTGCTTTCTCTGAGGCTTCCTCCTGCTATGGAGAAGAGGTTCATGTTTCGCTCTGCAATTCCGTCCTTGTGATTGTGACCGTCATTGTGATTGTGAGACAGAGAAAATGTTTAAGTTTTGCTTTACACCTTTAGCCATGTGAAATACCTCACTTTCTCCCATGTTGATAGTAGCCTGTGTCAAGATGCAGTAGAATCAGGTGCCTGTCATTTTTTGGGCATCTGGAGTTATTGCTATAATCTTAAAGCTTGTTCATTTGGCTTGCTTTTGATGAAAAAAGCTACCCATCTAACTTGAATCTGTCCTCAGAGAAATTCGCGGGTTGCGCATGCAACTTTTGGCCTCGGCGCAACTTCTGCCATTTTCGTGAATTCGCGAATTTTAGGCAATTTTCTGCAAGAGTTGGAAAAATAATAATTTAATTTAGGTAAAAATAACCGAAATTTTCTTCTACAACTAAAAATATCTACGCGAAGGGGGACAATTCGTACCTGAAGAAATCAGATCTACCACTTCCTTTGCACTACGGGGTGCCCAGTGCCCGTTGTGGATGAGATCGGGTCGGGATGATCGCCCGACTCGTTGCCTGAAAACAACGTGTTTGTTTTTGAGGCAACGAGTCGGGCGCGATCGATTTGTACCACGATAGCCACTTTGCGCCATCAGTCGGTCGAGCAAACCGACCCGTCCCGACCCGACCAGGACCTCCCCAATAGTCCTGTTTGGACTGAATCATCTTCTACTTCTTCTTGATCTAGCTAAATCTTGACTCCAAATCTAGATATCTATTAGTATAATAGAGTAAACTCAATCGTAAAATGATCGTCTTATTTAACTGATTACTTAGCTTGCTTGGTTCCGTAGCACCAGGTAGATAGATCTAGTATAAAAATTTGTGAAAGACTTTAAATCTTAGGCCAGGAGGGTAGATCCAAACATGGATCGATTCATGCAGAAAACCCCTAAAGGGGTCGTTCAATTAATCTTACGTCTGAAAAAGGCCTAAAAGGGGGGGGGGGGTGTCTTGACGTCTGTATAAGAAAAGTTTAAGAAGCTGAGGGGTGGAGGGGGTGGGGTTCTGAACCAATGTAATATTAATATATTTCACTTTTGTAAGGAGAAAAAATAACAAGGAAAATAATTTATAACAACACAATTTTTTAAAAACAGAACATAAAAAAGCAAAAAACTTATTAATTAAGCTTCACTGTGCAGTAGCCTCCATTAAGGCGATAAAATGCAGCCAAGCCTCATTGAAGCGCCACCATTGGATGATTTTGCTGTGCAGTCTGTGTTTGAAAAGGGATTTTTTTGTTGGTGATATACATTGTATATATGCATGTACGTGCACATGTATTTTTAAAGCCGAGTCTTCTTTCTCTCTGTATTCCTATGTCTTTCTTGTTGGAGAAGGATTATCAATTAGCCAACCAGTGGATGTTGTGTGCCATTAGTAGTGTGTATCTCTGGCGTTCAGTTGGCTAGCGGTATAGCGCGGTAAATTTACTTTAGTTAAATAAGAGAACAAGTCACAATCTTTCGCCTGCGACCACAACACATCCCACAGAATTCTTACCTAAAGAGGATCCTCAAGCATACCCCACCTGACTGCCTGTTTTGTGACTGCCAGGATGAAACAGTATCACACCACCTCTTTACCTGCCCTGCACTTAGCAGCCTGCGTAGTACCTGCCTCCCCAGACATCGGAACTACTCTATTCAGCGACGAAACACAGTAGATAAAAACCTGTAAATTCTTTGCCATATGGATAGGAAAAGTATAGTAGGCCTACATTAGTTAAATAAGGACTGTATGGCCCAGACAGTTGGTGGACAGTGGTGTGAGGGCACAAATACTATGTTTATATACGTGTATTATATATTTTTAAAAAAGTTTTAGTAAGGTTTTACGGCGCTCGCAACTGCATAAGGTCATATATGATGGCCAAGGAATGGATTATATGATGGCCAAGGAATGGATGTCAACAGAGAAGTCCAAACAGGGAATCAGGCTTACTCTGCTCACCTCTCTAGCCTCAACAGCACAAAGTCTGCTTCGACTTGCAAGACACCCCGGAAATATCTGTTCACGAGAGAATGACAAAAAGGACAAAAGTAAGGATGAGGAAAGAAAAAGCAGCCGATCCCCCTATGTTGTTCCAGCACAGTATGAGCGTGAAATTGATAAAATGCCCATTAACATTTTAACTGTGTATAAGAACATGTTTATATCCCTCCTTTGGGAATGGTCTAAAGACAACTTCAGTTTGTAACACTGCCTTTTTTATAGGCCTACATTTGCGTGGGGCTTGGGATTAACAGGGCTGGGGGTGGTGGCAGTACCCCGAGATTTGACTTTACTTCTATCGGTACTGCATTGTATCTCTTAAAGTCATCAGTATTTGGCTTGATGTACCGGTACTACTGAAGTACTGTCGTTTTGTTTGATTTCTGTTGTTTATGGGTTTTTTTTTCCTCTAGTTTTGGAAAAGGGGGATTTTTTTTTGGAGGAGGGGAGGGGGGGAGAGGGGTTAAATCTCATAAATTTCTACAGGGAAATAATGGCTGTGAAACTGGGCTCTGATATTAATTACTGTTTTTTCTTTTGAATAGTGCTATTGTAAATTTAAATAGCTGCAACTGCGATACGTTTATAAATGCATTGCCTGCTGCTGCTATCGGTTGTTTCGCTGTTTCTTTTGTAAAGTGCATTTCATGTAGGCTATCTTGTGATATCTAGTTGAAAAAGTCCAGTATGAAGCTGCTTTCTCTATTTACTATTATTTTTTTCCTGCCTTTGTTACCTTGCCGTGTTGAAGGGAGAAGCAATTGTATTTTTCTCTTGTATAACTAACTGTAAAAATTATATTTGTTATTCTTTATTCAGGCTCAAACTGTTGATCAGTGTCAGTAGTGTGCCCAAATTTGACATGTAGAACATATATGTATATATTTATATATTATGTTATAACAATATGATTGATTAAAAAAATTAATGACTTTTTATTCTTACACTACACGTCCCATATCATATGATATTATATTGTTAAATGAAAAAGATGCTTAAATTTGATTAAGTGTGGACAGGTATAGTACGTAAAAGGATGTTGATGTCAGGTGAGAGAGAGAGAGAGAGAGAGAGAGAGAGAGAGAGAGAGAGAGAGAGAGAGAGAGAGAGAGAGAGAGAGAGAGAGAGAGAGAGAAGCACAAAAGAAACCAGATTGTTTTTTTGGGAGTGGTATTGCATAATCACACTTGCTTCATTTCTTGTAGTATGTACGAGTAGGAGTTAAAGGATAAGATAATAAAGTTTACTGATTGAATTAATCTCCAAATGATTACTTATTGGTTACTGAGTCTAGAATAGGTATCACCGTTGGTGATATAATCTCCTAATGAGAAAACGGTAAGTGCCAGTTCATTGTCTAATGCAGGTCTGATTATACTTAAAATATGGATGTTTCTCTAAATTTCTATGAAACTTATAAAAAACCAGTTAGGTATGGATAACTCGAATACGTCGTGGATTGACCAAAAAATGTGTTTGACACATCTATATCGGGTTAACAGATAAACAAAAAAAAACTTATAGGTATCATTCGGGGAATTGCAAATCATACGATCTATCCATGATTTCAATTTCAAGTTTTCCATGTTCGTGTTGTGTCTGTGCCTGACTGTAGAGTTAAAATTGTTTAAGACAACCACTAATAGTTGAGGAGAAAAATGGATAATGTCTCACTCTTCGGTAGGTGAACGGCTTGGAGTAATTGGACTGTGTCATAATTATAATTGTAGTATATTTTTAAAAAGTAAAAAAAAAATAATGCGAGGGGAAACTGGGAAGTGGCTGCTTATACAGGTGATAGTGAGTCTCATTTTATAATACATACATGATGCATATGGCTTTTTAAAGCAGGTTCAATCAGCTGATATTTTTGTTATTTTTCCTAAGCTGCAAGTGAAATGTATAGAAAAAAAATTGTGTCTGTGAGCATGATGATGCCCTGCCCTGTTATGACTACAAATGGCATTTTTAGTAATGTAAATAAATGTATCGTCTGTGTGGGCGTTATATTGTGTTTTATGTAATGCAACAATGATGTAACCTCTTTATATTTCATGCACATTTACTTTGTACTGTACATCATTTCAATCCAAATTTCCCAAGGGACATGAAATGAATAAAAGTGCTTTTGCTCTTTGAACTTTGAAGCTTTGTTGGCACTCCGTTGACTGTTTTGCTTGTCCACAGCATGCCAATAACACCATGAAAAGGTTGCAGGACATATTTAATTATGTCACTTATACTTAAATGTAGACCGGTACACATATATATATATA